TAAATATAAAACTTGTGTAATAGTCTAATTATGCTATCGCACTTCCTATTAAATATAAAACTTATGTAATAGTCTAATTATGCTATCGCACTTTCTATTAAATATAAAACTTATGTAATATTCTAATTATGCTATCACACTTCCTATTAAATATAAAGCTGAATCGATAGTCTAATCACGATGTTCATGTTCTCATTTATATAAAAATACAAAGTTATATTGGAGGTTACTAGCAGGTTTATGTTTCGAAAAATTGTATTATAATTTTATGTCAATTACTTATTATCAACACAAAGTAATTACTGTACTCAGCTACTTATATATTATAAATTATGTATAGTGGTTCAGAATAATTTATGAGTGATACATATAAGGTGATTCAGGTGTCCATTTAAAGGCAAATAATTGAATAATGGACAAATATAGGAAAATAACTGAGGCTTTGCATGCTTATCATTGAGGTAAATTAATGTCATTTTCAAGGTCATGTACTTTTAGAATGCTATTAATATTCAGCATACATCAAAAGGAAAAGTTTTAAGTCAAAACTTCCAAAACTACTCCACACGAAAAACAGCTTCAGGATAAATGTATATCTTCTATACACACGAAAATGTATCAAAAAAATGAAATTCGGCCATAGCAATGGTTGCTACACAAACGCAGGTTTGAGATGCCAAGTGATCATGTCTGCATAAGCAGTTTATTGCACCTACGAATGGTCCAAACAAGTTGAAAAATATTAAAATAAAAACATCCGACAAAAGGTAGCATACAAGCATTTCGCTGCTCTCAAACCATCTAAATAATGACACAATATTTAGTTGAAGAGCTTGTTAAAATAGTTCTTCTGTATAGAGAGTGTCACAAGAATCCTCATGCTACTACCGTAAATAATGACACAGTATTCAGTTGAAAAGCTTGTTAAAATAGTCCTTCTGTATAGAGAGTGTCACAAGAATCCTCATGCTAATACCGTAAATAATGACACAGTATTCAGTTGAAAAGCTTGTTAAAATAGTCCTTCTGTATAGAGAGTGTCACAAGAATCCTCATGCTAATACCGTAAATAATGACACAGTATTCAGTTGAAAAGCTTGTTAAAATAG